CCCCAAAACCCCAAAACCCCAAAACCCCAAAACCCCAAAACCCCGGGATAAAATTTCAGATTTGAAATATAAACTTACTAAAAATGGAGGCCAACATGATCGTACTGGCTAGACTCAAGCCAAGAGCTTATGAAGAGCAAGATGATGCAAGGCTATGGCAGGTTGTCAGAGACAAAACTATTTATCCAACAGATATCACTAAAGATCCAAGGAAGCAGCCAGGATTTGGAAATAAGCACAACCCGGACAAATTCTCAAGTAGTCAAACTAGTGAAAGGTATGGACTTGGTGATCCTGAACATAAGATTAAGACCAGTGATACAGATTTTCATACTTTCGATCATATCTATTCTGAAGATAGCTCAACAGAAGATATTTTTAGAGATAAGATCCTCGACATCATTAAAGAGTCTCTCAATGGAGTCAATGTTACCATAATGGCATATGGACAAACATCTTCAGGTAAAACTTATACCATGCAAGGAGACTTTGCAAACCCAGGGATTATCTGTCTCACAATCAGGACTCTGTTCCAGCTCCTCAAAAGATGGCAAAAATAAAGCTGGACCTGAAGCTGATTACTCTATCAATGTAAGTTATCTTGAGATCTACAACGAAACAGTAAATGATCTCTTGAATGAAAACAATAAAGACATGAACATTCGAGCTGGAGCTCATGAAGAAATAGCCATCCCCGGCCTCACTTGAAATAGGGTCGAGAAAGAAATTTCAGTCTTTGATTGGCTTGAATATGGAGAGCAAATCAGACAAATTGATTCTACTGATTTCAACGAGACCAGTTCAAGGTCTCATACAGTCTTCAAGATTTCACTTGAAATGTCTTCTCTTGATATAAACCAGAACACAAAAATTGCAAAATCTGAAATCAACTTAGTCGATCTTGCAGGCAGTGAAGGTGTTTCTTCTGGAGGGACTAAAAAGAATGCATACGAGCGAGCTAATATTAACAAATCTCTCCTCGCTCTCAGAAAGATAATATCCCAAAATCTTTCAGCCCAGAACAAAAATTCTGACTTGAGAAGGGCTCAAGTCAAGCCTCTGTACAGAGACTCCAAGCTAACACGAATTTTACAAAATTCACTCAACGGGAAGTCTCTCACCTGAATAATTTGCACCATAAATCAAGACTCAAGTAGTAAGTCGGAGTCTTTGCAGACACTAAAATTTGGCTGCGAGGCCAAAAAGATCAAGCTAAACTTCAAAGTTCAAAAGCAGCCTCAGTTCTCAAACACGAGCATTCAATCAATGGAAATAGTCAAAACTCTTGAAGAAGAGAACAAGAACTTGAAGGAAGAAAATGAAGAACTCAAACTGAAAAATCAGGAGTACATGACCAAGATGAAATCAAGAATTTCAGCAACCCCTGATTTCAAAGAGAGCAAGAAGGAAAATCTGTACCTCTCTGGGTACCTCCAATACACACAGCATAAGCTAATGGCTACGACTAAAGATCTGAAGATGACAATGCGAAATAATGAAGGCATCCAACAACAAAAGAAGAGAGTTGAACAACAACTGCTGCAAAAATAAGGAAGAATGTAATGAACTGGCTCAGAAATATCAGGACTTGCAAGAAGCCATGGATCGATATGGCACTCCTGACTCCATAGAACCACTAGGGCTTGACTGAAACCATGAGAACACTGGAGTTCCAAGAGAGTTCCTAAAGTCCTTAGCGAAAGAAGATCTTATAGAAGAGAGTGGCTATGATTGACTACAACAGGTAGAGGAAGAGATGAGTGTTGATAACTCAGATGAAAAAGAAACAGATGTAGAAGGCTTAATGAAAAGGATCAAACGCCTAGAAGAAGAAAGAGATATGCTCAGAGCTAATTATAAAATTGATAACCAAGAAATGGCGCATATTGCTTCAAAGTATAAAAGTGACCATGAAGCAATCAAAGACCTCGAAGATCGCAATTTACATCTCTCTCAAGATCTAGAAAACATGAGCACTGAAAACCATGATCTTAAGCACAAACTAGGAGAACTCACTAAAAAGCTTAACAAAGCTATGAACCATAAAGACTCCAAAGAACTTTTCAACGTGCGTGAGGAGAACATGAGACTCACAAAAGCTCTCGAAATCGAGAGGTCCGAAAACGAGAGAATCCTCAAAGACCTTGAGCTCTTAAAATAACAACATAATCCCTACCGACACTGTCGAAATGCCTCCCCCTACTTCCCACCCCTCTTCTGAAGAAGTCCTTCACAACATAATTTTCGACTGTAACCAACAAATCGACCAACTGCACTCCAAATTAACCAGTCTGCGTATCTCAAATTCAAGGCTGAAAGGTCAACTTCTTGAGCAAGCCAAGAAGCAAAACTCTTGTAAAACAAAGCCTCACAAAGGCAGGACTAGTAAGACCAAAGATGAGATTTATTCAGCACTGAAGAACCTGCAAGAGCATCTGAATAAGAGCATCTCTTCGATAGAGTTCCAGCAGAATGAGGTTAGGGCTTGTAAAACGGCCAAGAAGATGAATATGAAGGAGTTTAAACAGGCTATTGGGACTCCGAGGAAGGATACACATAGTTCTATGAGGATGGTAAACCAAGAGCAAAAGAACCTTCTAAACTATGTCAGCAACATGCTATCCGATATCTGTAAAGACGATTCCAAAATAGCTCCTCAAGAAGACCTAAACCACCTCTATGGAGACATAATCGCTATGAAGGCATCTTTAATGTGGATGAGAACTTAACTATATACTTATTTCATTATCTAATAATATCCTTGGGGTTTTGGGGTTTTGGGGTTTTGGGGTTTTGGGG